GACAACAGTGAGCATTGTATTCAGAAGAGTGTCAGTCAGAGGCTCCTGAGATCCGGTGGAAGACAGACCTCTACAATAGCTATTTCCTCCTTAACCTCTTAATATCTACCTCATTTCTGGGAAATTCGCCTATTTTGCATACCCAAATGGAAAAGCAAATAACTGAGGAACTGTAAACTACATGTGCAATACATTATTTGAAAGCAAACACCTTCTAGTTTCTGAATATATACATGAAAAGTGGGTGAGTAAAACATCCAAGCTGCATCAAGCCCAAGCTACATCAATACAAATATGACTCAAAGTTGTTGTTTTTTTTATTCTCGAAAATAATAGGTCTTTTTTTCAACAGCAGTAATAAAGACATCCTTGCTTGTTGTGGCTGCTTTGTCATACTACATTTCGACATGCTGCTATAATTGTGCTTTTGTGCTCGCTATGTCCATAAAATGAACTAGGTGGTTGAATTGTAGAGAATCTAAGCTTTCCAACGATGTCTGACATGTCTATATGGGTAAACATTTTACCAGTGTTATTTTCATGCATTCTAAGTTATCATTTGTAAACGCTTTTTTTAAAGCCATTAACATCTTAAACAACATCTCTAATTGAACAGTTATATAATCATTTAGCATATGTATTATGAAAATGTTGATTAATAGGATAAGGTACCTTTTAAAAATAACCTTTAAGCTGGGATTAAATAATTTCATTTCAACCATATTCCTGTATCAAGCTTAATTTAATTGGTCTGAATTTCATTCCAATGTTAAATGTTAAGCTTTCATAACCTTTATGAGGAAAATTATGTGATTTGATTAAAAATACATTAAAACTTAAACAACAAAACAATAATTTCTGAAATAAATGAACTTTTTAAAAATATTCTTATCTATGGAATGTGTCGGTATGGACGCATATAAACATTGTACAATAATGCACATTCGGATGTTTTAAAAGTCTGTAGCCTGTCTGAAGTGCACATTAACTTTCCACCTCTGGGTTTTTAAATCTTATCCAAGCATCTCCTACATTTGATATCAAACTTAGAAGTTTCCTAATTGTAAGCATTACTTTAGATTTTTAGACAAGGTTAGAGTTTGACTAAAGAATACAATTGAGCAAAAGATAGCAATAGTCTGAGGAAAAGGGCTTTCAGAGAGCCTGGAAGCTACTGATAAGACCATTATACAGTGAAAGGATGCTTCTTGGAAGATGAGCATGAGGAGCAGTTTAGACTTCTCTTACATTAGACATATATTTCCAAATAAATCCAGTTTTTGTACAAATTCTAACATTCAGCTTTCAATGCATATATGTAAATATCATTAGGGAAGGCTTTTAAGACAGATAGAGGATAACAATCAATCAAACCACTCTCAAAACAACGGAGAACAAATGATTCCCATTGCATAAAAGTTGCACATTTGATACGCATTATTTAAGCCATCAAGGAAGAAAATGAGATGTGAAGAAGATAAATCTCAGTGCTTTCTCTCCCACACATGCGATAAAACAATTGACGACAGGACAAATCACAGAGAAAGACAGCCTCTGTGAGGGGAAGTGAGAGGAGTGACAGCAAGTTGGAAGTGGTTAGCTGGAAAACTTCCACTCCAATAAGAACTCCCACACCAACCCCAACACTGTGGTTTAAAAATAGCAAAGGTTCAATTTTCTGTACAAGTCAATTCAGCATTGGGCATTTTGGAGAGCGGGACAATAAGAAGCTGGTTACACAACAAAAATCAAACAAGGTGCGCTGTGACAACAAGCCTATTTCATTACACCTTATTATTGCTTCTGCACAGATTACTTATGACACAAAGCTGAGGTCTGGTGGATGGTGTACCCTCCCTGACCCAGATACTAAGCTGTCATTCTGCAGAGAGAACAAAGAATAGCAGCTGTCCATCAATAGTCTAGACGGGTTTTCAGGAATGACACAAATAAAGCAGCACATCGGCCACCTACTCATATCTACCATCATCTCCAGCAACGAAAAAACAACATCTGATTTGGCTGCCTGCATGTTCACAGATTCAAAAGTCAAAACATTGGTACCATACAGAGGAATATGGATAACTCTGAAAAAAGCTTTTTATCTATAAGCTGCTAAAAGATAAATGGTCTTAAATATTGATTGTTCTTGTACTTGTTCAAAATCTCCAACAATAAGCCTAAACACTGTGACTTGTTCATAGCAGTTCACTCTTCTTTGCAGTTTATCCAATTTTAGGTTCATCACCTTTATTACAATGATATTAGGATGTATTCTTGTTATTTATACATTTTCGATTTTACTTTGTTCACTGTAAATATAACGCTTGTCGCAAAAAGTACTTTAAGGGACAGACACTAAGAAAGTATATTATAGTAAGTAAATAAAAATTATTTATATATATATATATATAAGTATATATAGAGAGAGTATTGTCACTTTTTTAAGGACAATATCATGTACAAGAGATGAAAATGAATGTAATCCTCTGCTAGGTGCAGAAATCTATAGTACAACAAAGTAATTAAGAGAGTACCACTCTATATCCACCAATACATTAAAGCATATCATTAACTACTGACTCATCAAACTTAATTAAAAGTCATTAAAAGATCATCCAGAAGGTTGATGTAGGAAAAGACCAAATTCTGAGGTTAGGAAGGGTTGATCAACTAATGCGTCTGAAGTTTCTTCAAAAGAGCATCGACTTTAAAAAGGTCATTTTTATTATTTTATTGCCTGCCAAGTTAAAAGTATTATCAGCTGCTAATGCTTGTACTGGTCTATAGGGATTAGCATAGGAAACAAAAATAGTTAAATTATTGGCTATTGCAAATGTACATTACAGCAAAAGGGGTCTTCTACATTTAACCCATCCCTTAAAGAGCAGATAGCTTGCATCACCCTGGGAGAAATTTGAAGCTAAAGGTGTTGCTCTGGGATCAAGATTGGTAGTCTGTGGGATTTGAACAGATTAACACAAAATCTACTCTAACCACTAGGCCACAACATCCCTTGTAAATGTAAGTAAGGTAAACATATTCTGTAAAAGAAGCACTTAAGAACTACAAAGGCAATAAATAAGATCATTGTAAATGTCTAAATATCTTTCTGCTTTTGATTTAAAGAAAAAGACTCAGCTCTAGAAACAATAGGAAAAAAAAAACATATGTAGCCGGGTGTAGCAGAAAAAAAAATCAGTTGATGTGGAGAATTGTGTGGGTATGGCGAGTGGGAGAGAACAGGAGTTGGAAGACGCGCCAGCAGCACTTTATAGGTCTGCTGTATTGGACCACTTTGCATTTAGAGTGACCTACGATGACGGTGGAAAGAAAGTTGTGGATAAAAGTGCAACAGTGTGCAAGCATTGTGCAACACGTTTTGTTTATGCTAACAGCAACACGACCAACATCTCATGCTAACCCCGAAATCCCACATACTCCGTCAGCTCTCCAGACCGCCTGCACAAATCAAAGCCTACAGCCTCCGCTGAGTTCATTGGAAATCGTAGAGGGCATGCGCGAGATGATTAAATTCAAAGCAGCAAAACATGCGGAAATGATCCAGGGTTTCCGCGGATCGTTAAAAATAATTACAATTTATTATTTTTTTTTGTATTTTTCATTAATTTAATTTTTTTTTTTATGGGATTTCGGGGTACACTGGAAAAAGGATCTAAAAATAAGTAGAAATGTCTTAAATTAAGTGTATTTACGCTTACTTTGAGTAGGTAAATTAGATAGTTTGCAAATGGAATGAGTATTTTTGCCCTTAAAATAAGAAAATTAGATAAAATGCACCTGATATAAGACAATGCAATTGTGTTTTCTTATTGCAAGTGTAAATTGTCTTGTTCCTTGGCAATATCTCTCTTTTACCTACTGAATCCAAGAACAAATACACTTATTTTAAGAAAAAAAAAAAACTTATCTAAATTTCGATTTTTTTTTTCCAGTGTAACAATCTACATATACCGAACCGAAAACAGTGACCAGGAAACCGTGAACCGAACCGTGGATTTTGTCAACCGTTCCACCCCTTATATATTATATATATATATATATATTATATATATATATATATATATATATATATATATATATA